ACGTCATTGTGGCTTTAAGGAAGTATGGTCGTGCATACCTAGTGTTTCTTCTCCAATCTTGTTCCATTTTTAAGCTTAAAACTTTGATTGGGTTGTATGGACGAATGAACAATTTGGTATACTACATGGTTTGTTCGAACCCCACCATGAACTAAGTTATATTTGGTTGTGTTCATTTGATAGATGCTTGGAACTTTATTTTAATGGTTGATGAATGTTTATCTCTTTTTACTTATTTACTTATGTGCTTCATCTTCTAAGATTATAGGCATGAGAGTGTCCATTTCTTAGAAGAAGACTAGGTGTTTGAGAGAAACATAGTCATTAATTCTTAAGTATTTAAGAGAAACTTAAGTATGATTAACATAAGCAATGGGGTATAGTTAATCACTATAGCTTAATCCCTTAGTACTTGAGAAAGACTAAGTTAGGATTTCAACGACTAAGAGGGGTGATGTGTCTTCAATAATGTAGGTTGCCATAGTTGAGACTGAGAGGAGATGTCGTGGCATTCTATTCTGTTAGGTTCTTAGACTAAATAGCGAGAACACTTTAGAAAACTCCGTCAAACAAGTAAATCATTAGAATACTATATCAGCTAGAAAGATAAGTTTTCAGCTCCTCAAATGACTCCCCACCATTCATTCCTGAAGTAGTTTTCCATGTGATTATCAAGCTATTCCATTTATTTGCTATTTTTACCATTTTACATTGCCTTGGTATTTTCATCATTTCACATTATAATTTGTTCTCTTGTCTCGACACAATTACATTCCTTCACCATCATTCCATTCACCCTCACATCTCCATTGTCAAAGCATCATCAGTGTATATATCATTTTTACTTAGATAATTTAGTATAGTGTCATGGTTAAACTGATAAATTTCACCCTAGAGGACGATACTCACTCATCATTATCTCATCATTATATTACTTATTGCGATTATGTATACTTGCACATCATTTACGTATAATTTATAGTACTCATAACGCGCAACATAATTTCATCTTTAAATGATATTTGAAAATCAAAAGCAATTCACGCTCACGACATCAATTGTTGATGAGAATAATTTTAAACTCATCGATCGTGATGGTTTAACCTTCTAGTTTGATGAAGAGTCGCAACCAATGGAGGATCGACTATTTACCAGTGATCTTCTATTAGAGGATGACGAAAATAACATGAAGAAGATGACTTTCTCGTACAAGAGCTTAGAGAGAAGAAGCCCTTTTTCAGTCTCTCTCATATATATACCTCGATTGTAAGGTGGTTGGTGCGAGATCTAAAGTCATCATGCTTGCTAATAGGCTGACATGCTGTGTAGATAAGACTATCAACAGTGACAACTCTATAAATATTTTTCAGGTTTGACATATATGTATTAATAACAATTTTTTTCATATGGGACATGAACAAATAAAATTTGTGGTTGACACCTTCAATAAAATAGACAACTAACATTAAAAAAATTCGAATTTTAGAGTAGATTAGTTCGGCACCGGCTATCAAACATCAATTTTGACTGTTAAAATCATGTCATAAACTGAGACATCTGGCTAAAGTGACTTTGGGGTGACATGACATCTTCGATGACTTCTGAATGCTCCACTCATGGGTATGATCCTTCGAATCTCTTTATAGAGAAGTTTTCTTTGGAGTTTTCTGTGAATGCTCCACTCTGATATAAGTTATTTTCAAGATGATATAAAAGTGCAACACTTAAATGGGAGGTTCTAGTTGTATAAGGAAGGAATTATGACAGTGTGAAAAATGTGGATCCTCATCATTTACAAAGTTAAAAGAGTCTAACACCATGATTCTATTTCTATATGATGATGATAGTACTGGGGCAATCGGAGACTTGGCATTCAACCTGTTCTTCAAGAATCTTTAAAACTTTCTCCTTTTTTGAAATATTGAGTTTTATTATTAAAGAATTATGGTAAGCAGTGATCAGATTATAAATTTTCAAGAAAGTCAAAATATTTTTTCTCATTCAAGTAGAAACTGAAAGATTTAAAGGAATAAAGGGTCCATAGCCCCTCCTGTCCTTCTTTCATAGAAAAATGAAGTAATTGTGGGATTAACTAATGCAAATTAACCTAAATATGATGGCTTAAATGAAAATCAAAACGGAAGAGGACTAAAAGAGCTTATGTTGGAATCTTTGTGATGACATACAGCCTCGTCTAAAGTAAGCAATTGTCTTGAGCGGCAGCAGAAATTGCTGTCCCGCTCACGTTTTATTAGTTATACGCATGCAATGGGTGGTGGCCTGTCTTCAATTCTAACAATTTGAACATTATTTTTGTTGTTTAAATTTCGTTAGTCTTGCTATCCAAAAGCACGTGTTATGTCGTTTTTGTTCTCTTTTACAACAAAAATCATATGGATAATCGTATGTGTTTGAATTATACAACTTGTCATTTCACGATAAAGAAAAGTAATAATTTAGGGTCCTAAAAATTGAACTGGATGGTGAAAACTGAAATAAACCTACAAATTGGAACTGAAAATTATGAAATGAAAAGGTTAAAAAAACCTAGAAGGTGTAGGTCAATGTAGGGTCCTAGTATAAAAGTAGCAGTGGAGTATAAGAAGATTAGGGTACACTAGGTTCTTAAACAAAATGTGCAGGAGAGGATATCTCTTGGATTTGGTACTTAAAATGGTGGGGATATCTCTTCGGAAGATAGGGTAGAGATTTGCTGTCCCTATTTTCCCATCCAATTTTGTTTTTCTCCCCCCAAACACACCAATCAATGCTGCACCTGCACCAAACTCTCCACCTTTGCTACTGCTATGTTGTTTTTTAGGGACGACATTGCTTACGGCATTGGAACCAACCTATTACCCTACGCCTCTTTTATCGTTAGGTGTGTCACAATATTTGAACTGAATTTTAAGTTTTATGGAGTATCATTTTTATTATTAAGTTTTAAATTATTTTAATTTCAATGTTACATTTTAATTTAAATTTAATTAGGACAATAATGATGACATCATTTCTCATAAATTTTAGTTTATTATATAAACTTTATCAATAAATTTAAAATATTTAATTTTAGACATTAAAATTAATTTAATGAATCAATTCATCACTATAGAAAATGAGCTTCGTCATCTATTAGTATCGATCTATCGTCATCCATCATTATCAATGATGAACTCAGAGGTAATCTTTTGAAATTTTAGATTCTCATATATTTTAAATGTTTCTTTGAATTTCTACTAATATTTTATTTTCGTCTGTTAAAATTTTATGTCTATCCCCTGGCATAAAATCTTGTATCTCTCTAGTTAATATTGTTATTCACGACAATAATTGTTATCCAAATGATGGATTTTGTGTTTAATTTCGTGACTTAAAAAATGAATTTTGAAAAAAAATAATACACTTTAAAATGGTATATGATGATAAAACGAGTTTACTGTGACGGATTTAGAGATATTTTTTTAGGATGAACATTTATGTATTAAAAATACAAAATCTTTAGTGAAAATGGACACAAATAAAATCTCAAGGTGGACATAATCAATAAATGAATAATTAATTTTAGTAGATTTTTGTCTACCCTTAATTAAACGTGAACCAACCATTAATTAGGGTGATCGTGCAAGACAACAAAGAATGATGATTTTCGATGACAATTAAAAATGAGTGAAAATCCTTTAATGAAGAAGATATGAAATAAAAAAAAATTACCTACACATAAAATCAAATTATCACATAACTTAAGTACTAATGATTTAATGATTCAATTAAACTTAAAATTAGAGTTTAATACTTAAATTAAAAATTTGATAGTAAAATCAACATACTATTTAAAGTTTTTATGACTCAATTTAAACAACGATAACTGTTCTTATTTTGATTTCTCTCTCTCTCTCTCTACGTGTGGTTCATTCTTCATGTATTTTCACTCTGCTATATTAAAGATTAGGGATAAAATAATATGCTTGTACTGACCTCTGGATTCAGAAGTGGGGGATATATGGAGGTTAAGGTGGAGCAACACAGCTTTAATTAGATGTAAATTTATTGAAATTTTACATGCTGGAAGCTGACAGCATTGGAGATTTAGTTTTAGATCACAATCACATTTAACTCTTTTAAAGAAACATCATTTACCATGATGTTGCCAGAAAGCGATCCTTGTTCTTCTTATACCAAACAAACAAGAACTCTGCTGTGCCAATGCTTCAGGACCTTGCCCAATGCCCACCCAGCTGCTTTATTAGCTAACCTGTTTATTGCTTAGGAGGCGGTGGTTGTGGTGCCATCAATTCTCAATATTACTGCTGCTGATTATTTTACGTATTAAATAGCATGGATATTAATTATATAGGACAAACAGTATTTTTGGTGAACTTTTTGATAAAAAAAACGAATGTTTTTCTCTTATGATTCTAAATTTGAGTAATTGTATTTATAGAAAATGAATATGTTGCGAATAATTAAAAAGAATTATGAACATATATTACTTTGTAATCAACTCAAAATATTAAAAATAATATTTTTTTGGCATTGAGAAACGAAGAGATTCAATTACCTAAATATGTAAAAAAAATACACATACGACCTTTTAAAAGTTAAATAAAAGCTTTGGGCTGGATTTAGATTGAATAAGAGTAGTGATGTTGGTCTTTAAGGTTTAGTTTGGGGAGTTTTAGTCTTCATATTTAAGTTTGGTCCTTATATTGGGGCTGGGTAGGTTTATTTAATGTTTTGGGTTAGGTAGGCTTGTTCCGTACTGGGAGAGGCTTCGACTGGCTTGAGATCCGGGCCTAATGGATTGGTCCAAACAAAATTGGAGCTGATGTAGTATCTACATTTTGTTTTTTTCATTTTTTTCATCAAATTCTATATTTTAAATATTTAATCTATATTTTATTTATAATATGTTTTAGTTCCTACATAAAATCCTGCACCTGTTACAGCTGAGCAAAGACAGCAGTGTTTTTACAGTGCAACATTATCTTTGAGTTCTTTCATCAGGAACAACACAAACTTTCTTACAAATCATGATTCAGCCTGTATGTGGACATCAACAAGTTCACCATAGTTGCAGAATCTGAAGTTCTATAATGATAAAATGATATAGAAAACAACACATCTAACATTGTCAATGTTCTAACGTGTACCAAGCTTATCTTTGATCGTTTGCAAGGCTCTATCTATTGCAATATCAAATGCATCCTTCTTGGACCTCAAATCCGATGAGCTATCATGCCTTCTATACATAACTTTAGGGATCAATTCGATGACAGATTGCCTCATCTTCCTTACTTCACTCCTTGGTATCTCCATTAACACATCCAAAATCTTTAACCCTTAAAAACCACTTCCTCCTTTGGTATGAACACCGAGAACTCGGAATACTTATCCGCCGGCAAATGCCATTCGTATTGCAATTTGGCAGTCAATTCTTCAAAGAAAACTGGTATGCAACCTGCAGTGATTGCATCAAAAGTAGACCTTCTTGTTGGAGTGTCCCCAGGAGGCTGTAAACAAAAGGTTGCTTGAAGCATAGGCTTCATGAACCTTATCGGATCATGCTCGCATATCCCATTAGAGCAATCCACCATATGGCATAACTTTGAGTACATCCCATTTCTTTGAATGATGTTGAAATTGCTGGTGATGTTGTTGATGGTACTGTTCTCACATTCGTTCCTTATACTCCTCCTGATATTTGGGGTTGATCCGATTCCTCCGCCACCAGCGAACAACATCAAACTAGTCCTTCTGGATCTCTTCACCCGTTGAATCCAAGCCTCGAAGTAGGCCAAATTTTGGGGATGAAACGATGTAGGATAAGGCACGGCATGCTCCTGCAATGGCCAAGGTCTTCCCTCGGGAACCAAGGCAGTGAGGTTGTAAAACTCGGGCAATTCAAGAAAAGAAGTTCCCCATATTGGAGGATCATTATCCAATGGCTGAGAGAAATCCCAAGCAGGTCTAGCCATAATCAGGAAATGATCATGACCCATATTCCGTTCCCAGATTCCTGGTTCATCGGATTGCAAGAACTCGAACAAATCCAACCCATGTTGGAAGCTGGAATTCACATCAGGACCATACAAATATCTCAACGAATCAATGGCGGCGTAGTAAGGAAGAAAGATGGCATTCGCAACATCAGGATCATTAGTGAGACAAGGGCATTCCAGGATTCTTCTATGGAAAATGAGTTCAAGCAACAAAGGGTCGGTACGGTACCAACTATGGGATCTGCCATGGGTTTTCTGTCCTAACCCATGGTTCGCTAAGTAAGGACAAAAGTCATCAAAAAGTGGGTATTCAGAACAGTTGTTAAGTAGATCGAGATTGAACCTAGATGGGAGGTTCCTGATGTAGATCCAACCGTTATTGCAATCTTCTGATGTTACTTGATTCGATCTAGACTCAATGGTCAGGGTTTGCTGGGAAGACGCTGAATCGATGATCCAAAAAGAAGAAATGGGTTGTAATGGAGAAGAAGATTGGGACGATTCGGGTCTTATAAGCCATGTAAACATTACAAAAATGAAGAAAGATGAAAGCCTAAGAACAAATTTCTGGGCGTCTAAACATGATTCTTAAGGGGTCATAAAAATCTCTGTTTTAACTGCAGGCTGTCCCGGAGTTACTTTGTTGGGGAAGAAGAAGATGGCTTTCAGTTTCCAGAACTACAAATCTAAAAGAGGACTTTAAAAAACAAAATGAAAACAGTTTTTATCTAAAGGATTGTAGTAATTCTTTCCATATTTGTATTATTATCTATAACCATGGAGGTTTGACCCAGCAATGTCGGTGGAAAACAACAACAACAAAAAAGGTTCACAAATAGCTTTGGACCAATATTCAGAAGCCCACTTTGTTTAATTATTGGGCTGGACTTAAATTTTAGATTATTATACACTACAAGATAGATGTGTTTGAGGGTGTAATTCAACGTATCATTTGATGAATTATTTATATAATGTTTGTTTATTAAATTAAATAAATTGGTATAAATAAAAAATTTATTTAATAAATAAACAAACAAGAATAGATGTGTATTCGGTTCGTTTATATTCACGAACAAACTCGTTTAAAGTTCATTTATTGGCTCATTATAAACTCCTTGATCGGATCTCTTATAAGATTGTTTACCCTATTTTCTTTTTTCTTTTATTTTTTTATATTTTAAATATTAGTGAAGATAGAGTTTAAATTGAAGAGAAAGTGAACTTTAGAGTTTAAACTATTAAGCCTAAAGAGCTTAAGGACTAGTGACATAATTTTACAATTTTTCTTTGGATTGCAATTAAAAAAGTAAGAAGATAATATTGGTTGTCTAGGGGGACTCCTATCGTAGAAATGAACGAGTTCATGAGTACTAATGAAAATGTCGGTGAATATACAAATGAATATATACACAAACATTAAATAAACATATTCGTAAAAGTTAAATGAATCAAATAAGATTACCTTCAAAAATAAACAAATAAATACTAACATAATATTAAAAATTTAAGTAAATACAAATCAAATATAAATACTTTCAAAAATAAACAAATGAATATAAATATAGTCTTATTTATTCAAACCCAATTCATTTACTCTCCTGACTGTGGATGTTTTAAAATGTTTGCAACCAACACTTCTCCTGTTGCACCACGTGCAATTATATGTTTTATTTTTCATTTCATAGGTATTTGTTTAATGGTCAGCAGCAAACAAAGTTACATATATAGTAATCACACTTGTGTTGATAATTAATGGAACTGTGTATTTCAGGTTATTAATCAATATTATTATTGTTTTTGGAAGTGGACTGACTAGGCTCAGAGTCATTTGTCAGACAAGTTCTTAAAACTTTGTCCAAAACCAAAACAAACATTTTGAAAGTACTTCAACAGAATTTCCTTTCCATTATTGTCAATTACTACCATTATCTTCATTTTGAAAATCTTAACAGGAAGAGATGATATTTGCCTGTGCATGCATGTAAACACCGTCTATATGAATATTTTCTAGGATAAGTACACATATATCAATTATACAAACTTTTATATAGAATAAATATATAAAATTTCAAAATGAAATAATTAATAAATAAATAACTAATATAAAAAAATTGGATTTCAAGATGAGTTAGGTATAAATCCGTCATTATCTCTAATTATATAACAAGTTGAGGGTAAAAACAGAAAGATACTCAGTAGGCAAGTGACAGAAAACTGAGGTCCAACTCATTAAAACCTTAGATTATATCTCAATAATGTGGAGTGAAGGCGTCAACTTGAGTCTGAGCACCTGAGCCAGGGAGTTTTTGCAGGTGAAAATCTTAGTTATGGATCTTTAAAAACTTGGTAAATTGTTGTAATAATACCTGTCTGCAATAAGAAAAGTCCAGACAAAGGTTGACTATTTGTTTGCTTTAAATAAGTTATCATTTCAGACAAATTGGCCATCATCTTCTTGTACATTACCACACAAAAGACACAGTCCTCCACTATTTGCAATTAATGATGGAGCTTCTGATGAAACTGTGTCGTGTCTTCCCTTTTTATTAACTTATCTCTTCAAACCATGTCTTGATGAGTGCAGATCTCATGCTATCCTTAACCTCTTTTCTAATCCCCAATTAAACAACTTGGTATTTGAAATTTAAAGTTTAGTAAATATGTAAACATGAAACCAATTAATCTTTGAATATAATTTATATTTGTTACGAAATTAGAGACCTCTAGAGTTTCCTACGGCAATAATCGATTTTAGTCACATGTACATAAGCAAAACTAATAATTAAAAGCTAGAGGGTGACCGACAGCAGCATGGAGTTCTGCTTTGTTTGATACCGAAGCTAGGTAATAGCTGTCAATTTCCCTGTATTATTTTCCATGCAACTCCACAAAAGTAAACTGATGCTGAGACAAAAGGATCAAAAAGTTGGTGATATTGTTATGATTGATTACTGTTAGAAGATAATGATATACACAATGATCATCTAATAAAATAAACACTAAAATTTTACGTAAAATAATCACACAGAGCAATGTAATTTAAAAAATAGCGTTTCATTCTATCAAGAAAAGTTGAAACAAAAGGGAAGGCTTTAAAATGTAGGACACTATTTATCATAAATATTTCGTGGGAGGGTAAAATATTTTGCTTCTCTACTGTATACGACAAGGGGGGAATCCAAGGCCCAAGGGGCTCGTTTTTAATGCAATTAAAAGGGTTCATATAATTTTTAACCATTGAATTTACTAATTTATTCTATTTATAGTTGATTTTTTAACATAAATTTTTATTAGGAAAAAGCACTCTTTACGCTAATTTTGGTTGTGGTATAAAATAAGATTAACTAGTGGTATTATTCGAACTCTTTTATAATTTTTGTTAGATATTATCGATGACAGTTTTTCTAAAAAGAAAAATAAATTAAAATTTTCAATTCGTTAGAAAGACTCCTAACTACCCTGGCTGAGATTAATTTCATCTTAATTTCTTCGATGATATTAACTCCATGAGAGTTGATCCAAGAGGTCTATGAACTGACGTGAGGGTGTGATTAAAACCATTAGGTAAATATGGGCTTAATCTGATGAAATTTGGACCCGAATATCTATAAAAATGAAGTTTTTAAATTGATATTAAATGAAGAGAGACAATATGAGTAATTCGACCATCTAGGAATAATAAGGCTGATAATCCTTAATTGAGGCTTGTGTCACCCAAGTAAAAAACAAGGCATAATGATAAAATGAGTTCTAACATTTACTCAAATAATTACTTTGGTCCATAATTTTTTTAAAATATTTTAGCTCTTAATGTTTTAATCTTGGTCAAAAGAGTTAAGATTGGATAAAAATTATTAGTTGACTAATGATAAACACATGTTACTAATGTTGCATTTTCACATTTTCTTAATTGGTGAGATGACACATGCCACGTCATCACTTTAGTTATATTAGTCAAAGCATTTAGTCATTAGATTCAAATTTATAACTTATTTAATATCTGACATTTAAGGATTGTCTCATCCCATCATCCAAATAATTAGATATATGTATCCATTAAATGATCTAGTAGTAAAAAGAGAATATTATTCTCTTTAGAGATTTTGAATTTAAATAATTATATCCATAAAATATTAATACATTGTCAATAACTAAAAAAATTTAAACGAATACAAATCTTATTATTACTAAAAGTATTAGCTACTAATAATTTCTCATAAACTTGCCTTTATGATGAAAGTTTGTGGCATGTCAATGATTGTGCATTCTAGTTTGTGAGGGCCAGGCTAGGGTTTGGGTTTTGTCTTTTAGGGTTGGGACAAGGATTCACCCTCGTGTATCCGAGGTGGCTGGTCGCAGCAGAAAAACCCTACTTGCCCCACTTCATAATTTCCATTCTTGTTTTTCTTTCCCCCACATGTCAAGATCGTTTAAACAGGGTAAAAATAATATAATAAATTGATTTACACACAATCAGTTTTATAAAAGATTTCAATATTTTTTTCCACATTTAGAAAAATCTGCTAACCAAAAATCTGCTTGAAGATTTATTAACAATATAATGTTGATTTTTTTTACTGCTGATGCATGAAACAAAATGGAAAAACTTGGTCATACTGTTTTTTTTAATGATATGAATGATCATCTGTTGAGTCTGTAAACACAGCTGTTCGAACTTGAAACCACTACAACGTGCTCACACTGATATTCCTTCACTATAGTCTATTATTTTTTTCAATCTCAAATTTACTATATCCGAAACTTCATAGAAAATAAGTAACCTCAGTTAAAAAGATTTAGAGGTAGAAAGGGGAGTCACATCAGATAAAGATTTGAAGACAATTAGACAAACTTGAGCAGTATAGGGCAACCATGGTAGCTGGGATTTTGTTTGGTTGGTAATTACTTGCGGAGTTTGATATTTGCCAACCTTTACCTACTTTTTTCTTCTTCCTTTTCTCATACCACATAAACAATCCCTACAAAAGGGTCTATATTTTGGTGCTACTTTACCTAAACATTATAAGGCAATGCTTATCTTTCGTTATTCCAACTTTCCTTTTTACCTATTAATTTATAATATAATTTAAATGGGTTTGGTTTAATAGCAAATGAAGTTTGGATAGTTCTTTTGCTCAAGTAATGAAATCAAAACTTTACAAGTCTTCCTATATATAACAGTCAATGCTTACATTTGTCATACATGATTTCTTTATTTTTTAAAATTTTTATATAGACATACAATGACCAATTTATAAATATTTTTAGGGTAAACAAGTGGGTGACATAAATAAAATTTCACGGTGGACACAATTAATAGAATAAATAACAAATATAAATATCATATTTTAAGATGGACACTTGTCCACTCTAATATGTGTATGGAGACATGTAGTATCATCTTAAATTTAATTATAATTTTTTTATTACACTATAATATATAATATAGTTATCTCAAAATTTTCCATTGTTTTCATATTCTCCTATTTAAACTAATCTCTCGAATCAAACGTCATCAATGATTAAAGAGATGATTATTATCTCTAGAGGTCTAAGATTCGAGCACGTTATCTGTAAGAGTATTTAAACATTCATTGTCAAATGATTAAAAATATTTCAAATAAATGATACTTTATAATTATTCCAACCTAATAAAAAAACCATTCTATCATTATATTCC